CGTTGAGCTCACTAATAAAAGCCACAACTTTGTTCTTGGCAAAGAAACCGACATTGAGCCTGTCCCTACGAGACAAATCGCCCTCGTTAGAGTGTCTCAGTAGTTTCCTGAGCTCTTCGTGAAAGCGACCACACACGTCGCTGCAAGCTTTCAGGGCTGCCTGTAGGTTACCAGTACAGGTAATGTCGGAGAGCACGGGCTGCCAGTCGCCCTGGCCGAGGGCGGTCTGGAGGCTCTCGATGACGGACTGGACGTTGTGAAGCTCCGTCTTGGCGTTGGAGATGGTCTGCGGGGCGTCCTTTATGCTGCCTAGGTCGTTGGTGAGGACGCGAACTACGTGGAGGGTTGTTGTTGTGAGGCTTACGGCAGCTGATACCGTGCCTACTATTTCGGCCATTGGGAAAAAGACACAGGGGGCTTGATGGTCTTTAAGGCAGCACCGAAGGTAGATGGGTAGAAATATGCACAGATGGACACCAATGAATGCCGCAATTGAGATGGAAGACAACAACCGAGTTGGGTCATTATTACTTCTGAAGAGAGGAGCCTCCTTGATGCCTTGGAGTTGCCTCTTCTTGTGGTAGCCAATCAATCACCCTGGTTTGCCTCAGCTGAAGACTTAGGTACCTAAATGCCCAGGCCGAGAATCAGGCTGTGACGTTTTGAAGGAAGTTCCCCTTATCATCTTCATCCTTTCATCTACGAGTTTCTCTCTCCCATCCGCAAATCGACTCTGATGCCTGATATTCTTGGTTATATTGTCTTTCGTCTGACACTATGGGCGCAGAGGCGCGTGGCAATATCGCCGTCACTATTGGTGATGTGAACGTGGGCCCAGGAGCTACGGCCATTCTGGGCATGAACAAAGTTGGGTCGGGTGTGTCTAGAGACTGAGGTGTTGCAAACTTGGGCTAATCCAGGCCATGGTCAGACTTGAAAACACAGGAGGAGATAGTCCACCGATGCAAAAACGAACTCTTTGTCTCCGAGCCGAGCTCAGTCCGCGCCGAACTCATCAATACCAAAGGAAACCTGACAGAAGGGACATGCCGGTGGATCCGGCACGATGAGACCTACCGGTCATGGCTAGACGCTGAAGAGTCGGGCCTCCTTTGGATATCTGGCGGACCTGGGCGGGGAAAGACTATGCTGTCCATCTTCCTTACCCAGGAGTGGGAGTCTTTGCCCGACTGTGCTGTGCTCTATGTCTTTTGTGGAGACAAGTCAACCAGTGATGAAACCACCATCATGAGGTCTTTGCTCTACCAGGTCCTCGACCAGATTCCTAACATGGTCAATCATGTGGAGGATTGCTTGGGGACAGGAGAGAGAACCAAGCGTACCCTTTCATCGCGTGGAGATCTATGGGCCATGTTTGCGAGCATACTGACGGATCCAAGACTGGGACCCGTCCTTGGCCTAATCGATGGTCTTGATGAATGCAACCGAGACTCGACCCGCTGGCTCTTGAATAACCTACGACGAGTGTTTGACAAGGAATCAAGATCGAGATTACCACATCACAACCCATTCAGGCTTGCCATAGTCAGCCGAGACATGGTTGGCCTGCGAAGTTTCCCTCGACTGGATCTCGAAACCAAGACGGATGCGATTGCAGAGGACGTCTCCCGAGTAATCAGCGCCAAGATCAAAGAGCATGATCTCTTCTCAGAGTTGGATAATGAATTTCTAACAGAGATCAAGAGAAACCTCCGGCGCCGCTCAGATGGTACCTTCTTGTGGGTTGGCTTTGCCATTCAGGAGCTCCTGTCTGTCGAAACAAAGACAGAGATGCGGCTTGCACTGGATGCCATTCCACGAGATCTTGGCGCCCTGTACTCCAAGATTCTCCTTCGGATAAAAGGCCCCATGAAAAAGAAAATCGTCGAGCTCTTGCATTGGGTGACTCTGGCATGCCATGCTCTGACAGCGTCCGAGCTTGCCGATGCTTTGAATGTGGATGCTCAGACTATTCTTGACCTGGTGGCCATGTCCAGGTCACTCTTGACCTTGAGTGGACAGGAAACTTCGGAAAGGGCCGGGTGGGTTCTTCCTGAACTGGCTCTTCCTGGGGCACGGGATGCCAGTAAAGCTGTCGTCAAGCTCGTTCATGCGTCGGTGAGTGACTTCTTGAAAGGCGATGCAAACGAGGACATTCTACCATCCCTAGGATTCCGTATCTACGCTGAGGAAATGGAATTTGAGATTACCCAGAGGTGCCTGAGAGAACTCGAGATTCTTTTGGTACGAAGTGACATACCATACCCGACGTTCTGTTCGTACGCCACCTTTTTCTGGCCCGAGCACGCAAGACGCTGTGGCGAGCGTCTCGAAAGGCTGCTTGACTCGGATATCGTCTTCGTTCAGAGTGAGCACGGTAGGCTGATCCGATCGCGGTGGTGGAATCTTCATGAAGAGCAGTTCCTTGCCATTTCCATATACCCTCAACTCACTGGCCTTTCCCTTTTGCACGTGTGTTCAGCATTTGGGCTTTTGCCGTTGGCTAAGAGACTACTTCAAGACATAGCTTTGACAAGAACCCAGGTCGATGACACTGATTCCAGAGGCTGGACCGCGCTGTGCTACGCTATTGACGGTAGGCATACAACAGTCGCGCAGTTGCTCGTTGACCATGGAGCTTCTTTGGCACGAGATATCGAGGAAGAAATCGGGATCAGGAAAACGAGAACCTTCAAGCCAATTCACATGGCCATGGAACTTGGTGCACAAGTTGCAGAGCCCCTTCTGAAGAAGACACTGGAAAGCATCAGGTCATCATCTCGCGATATCGCTCTGGGGCGCAGTCTATTTCGAAAAGCTGCTGTACTAGAGGACGAGCGGCTTATCCGCATTCTGTGCACCAACGGAGCTATTCTACACAGAGACTTAACCCTAGCCCGAGCGGTTTTGGAGGATGCGCTGGAGCAAAAGGTCGCTCCGGCACTCCTGAAGCTGCTGCTTCAACACGGCGCCAGCGCATGCACTCTGGACCCGGCACTGGTGCAGATGTCTCATGCTGAGGATGCTGGGACAGTCTGCGGCCGAGTCAAAACACTTCTTGACCACGGCATGGACCCAAATGGCAACAGGGGAGAGGCCACTCTTTTGCACCGCGCAGTCATGTATGGGCCAGAGCCCGTGAAACTACTTCTCGACCACGGTGCTCTTATCAACGTCCTGGACAACAATGGCAGCACTGCTCTAATGGTCGCACTGGTTCACCACAGAATTGATATCGCAGCCATGCTCCTGAAGCGTGGGGCAGACCTGGGAATCAAGGATAAATATGGCGATACCGCCCTCCATGGCATGGTTAAGCACAGGATGCGTGAGGGCGTCGAGTTGCTTCTCCAGCACGGCCTGGATGTGAATATTCAAAATGACGATGGAGCAACGGCACTTGCTTCTGTGCTAAAGCATTGGGACCTTCCAATAGCAGAAATTCTTCTTAAGCATGGTGCCTATGCGATATTTGGAGGCGAAGACCGTGGCGGAGGAAGCACCCCGCCCCTTGAGGCCGGCGGGCATGTTGAGGCAACTTCACTCCTCAATGACGTCCAGGATAAGGGTATCCAGGATGCATGGCAACTTAGTCTAAGTGATGCTGATTTAGAGGTTCGATCTCATCCGATAGTTTCGGAAATCCCGCTCAGAGACGCCATCATGAATCGACATGTCGACATGGTGCGAGTGCTCCTTGAATACGGTGCCAACCCAAATACGAGACTAGTAGGGTTAGGGACTCCCATGGATTGGAACCGACAGTTTCATGACGGAAAAACGGTTCGGATAGCTGAGCTATTGTGTCAGAGAGGTGGTATCTATGGCGAAAGACAAAAGAGGCCCGGGACCAGACTCCGGCACGCATTTACGTCACCTTGAAGAGGAGCTGGGGGGCGAGCCAAAGTTGGAAGAATTACGATTTGCTTCGTGCATCCTTTTCTGCTGGGCTTCTTTGATGTGTAAACCAGGTGGAGCAGCCGGGGCTTGCCCCCCTATTCCCTCTGATGTTTGAACGCCTGCGTGAATGCTATCAAGACCACGCGAACTCATGCCCTGAGGGAGCCCGATTCGCATATCTCGTCTTGTATAAGACCATGCTTTGTTACATAAATCCCGTGTACAGTATTGCCAAGATAGAACTGGCAAAGGCTGCCCACCTTTGCTCACTTATCTCGGTTATGTGTCCCTTTACTGCTAGACTTTCCTCAGTCAACTCGACTCCAAACAACTCCCTCAAAACCTGTACCCCCTCTTCCTGACCCCGGCACTGGTACTGCTACATCCTGTACTTTGGGGCGTGCGAGGCCTGGATAGGGATGAAGCCGCGGATAAGGTGGGCGTCTTGGGTGCCTATGTTGTGAATGCACGACTTTTCCCTAAGCAGCATCGACTGTTTTGGTCTATCGCCGCCGAAACATACATCCGTCACCCACCGAGACGCATCTCGGAAGGGGATAATTTGTATAATGTGACCCATAAACATATGGCTACTGTAGTACCGGAACCCTTGCAAGCAACGAGGCTGTCCAATGTACCAGCCCTTGGTGTCTTCCCGGGTGAGGCCATCGACGCGGACTCGGCTCTTAGTACTGATGGGGCATACTCAGAAACCTAGATCGTGGGGTATGAAGAGAAAGAAGAGGTGTTTCTCTAGATAGTAACCGCCTCTGCCGCGACCGTCGCCCATAATCTTCTGGAATAGGTGCTGAGGATCGAGCGAACTCGCAGTGTCGGGGAGTGATGAAGCACTGAGGTTTCGTAGGGAACTGTCGATATCATGTGCGTGTGCAGAACCCTTAGCAAACCGAGATTGGGAGTCTTACCCCGCCATGTGCCCTTGGATTTTGTACCTTTTCTGCTCGCTTTCCTCACCTCGTAGAATACCTGGATCGGATGGAGCTGTGATTCATGCCCTACCCCTCCTCCACGACAACGCCTTCTTCAGCCTCTTCAGCCTTTGTTCATTCTCGCCGCCTCAAACCAAGCTATCGCCGACCATGACTTCTTCGCTGTACAAGTTGACGGCAACTGAGGTGCTTGAGCTTCTCAAGAACAATACCATCACTGTCGAGGAGTACGCCCGTTCTCTCTTGGACCGCATCCAGGAGAATGACGGCACTGTCAAAGCATGGGCGCACCTTGACCCCGACTTGGTGCTAAGCCAAGCACGAGCTCTGGACCAGATTCCCGAAGACCAGAGAGGGCCTTTGCACGGACTTGCCATAGGTGTCAAGGATATCATGGACACCAAAGGTACCGCACCATGTCTGTCTGTCTTCGGTAACACGCACGGCTTACGCTTGCTAGACATGCCCACGCAGTATGGCTCTCCCATTTACAAAGGGCATCAGCCAGGTTCCGATTCATCTGCCGTTGCAATTCTACGAGCCGCGGGGGCTCTTATTTTCGGTCTGTAAACCCCATTAACCCTGCGTGCGAAACTAACCCGATCTGCAGGCAAAACAACAACGACCGAGTTCGCCGTCATCAACTCGGGGCCCGAGACGACTAATCCTCACGACCCAAGCCGCACCCCAGGAGGCTCTTCGTGTGGATCTGCGGCAGCTGTGGCCGACTTCCAAGTAACTCTCAGTCTCGGAGCGCAAACCGGCGGAAGTCTCATTCGCCCAGCATCCTATACCGGAGTCTTCGCCATGAAGCCAACCTTTAACGCCATCTCGACTGCGGGCTCGAAACCCATTTCCCCTACTTTCGATACGCTTGGCTTCTTCGCCCGCAGCATCGAGGATCTACAGCTGCTAGCAGATGTCTTTGCCCTGCACGATGATGAGCCCCCAAGAGACATCCCGTTGGACGAAATCTCAGTTGCTCTGATCAAGACTCCCATGTGGTCCTCGGCGGGACCTGGCACAGTATCTGCCATGAAGCAGGCAGCTGCTATCCTGCAGAAGAACAACGTACAAGTTGAGAAGATCTCGCTCCATCCAGAAGTCGGCGATGTCGAGACACTGAGTCGAATCCAGAATGTCATCACCCAAGGTGAAGCACAGGTTTCATTTCTCAAGGAGTATCGAGTGGACAAGGCGAATCTTGCGGTCGAAATCCGGGAGATTGTCGAAAACACCTCCAACCACACCCACCAAGAGATGACAGAGGCTTGCACTACATACTCCAAGATGAGGGACATGGTAAACAAGGTGGCTGAGCACTACACCGTCATCCTTACGCCCAGCGCCGTGGATGAAGCTCCGCTCGGACTTGACGACATGGGAAGCCCGACTTTCAACACTCTGTGGACTGTAAGTGCTTCTGTTGGTCTGTGTCCCACGAATTCCTCTCGCTGACCGGTCGGTGTAGGGTTTACACATGCCTGTCATCAATATTCCTGCATTCGTCGGGGCGAATGACATGCCCGTTGGCATATCACTCGTGAGCCCCAGATTCCGTGATCAGCAGCTCCTGAAGACGGCCAAGGTCCTCGGCGAGGCGCTCCTGTCTCATGGCGGCTGGAAGGCACGGGTCTGATCCTCCTGGGGCTCAGGGCCGAATATTGGTCACATCTCCTTTGCATGGGTGGTCAGGTGGTGACGTGGGTGACACCATTGCCGATTGGCCTTTTGAGACCCATGGCGATAGTGCAGGTGCACGCGGGGGAAAGAAAACAGAGTCGGTCCTCATATGCAATTTCTATCTCCTTGCTTACGCGAGGACTGCCAGAGCGTATCCATCTCTACTATTAGAGCACTATCTAAACCTCTATAAAAATTATAAAAAAATAGGTTAATCTCTTATCTTAATTTCGGTGAGCGTAGGAAGAGACTTATCATAATTAGTCTATATCCCAGCTCAGTACATAATGGCAGTCCCCGCGCAAGCAAGGAGATGGGGCCAGCGGCTATGTGATATTTTCACCTGCTTGAGGGAGAAAGGGGGCACCGCAGGACTTCAACCTACTCTCATAGCTATTGGCTATAGAATAGAGGCGGCTGCGGCTCGTGAAACCTTTCATCATGGCTATTGGTCCTGGCAACGAGCGTGGCGCAGGACACAACAGTAGCTGAAAACAGTTTGTCGTGATGAGACTTGGTATATTTCTGCAACTCTCCCACCCGCTTCGGAACTGGTCTGAGATTGCATTCGAGCGTTCCCAAGCCTTCCACACTTCTGCTCTCTGGCTCCCCTTTCCTCTCATTTTCCTGGTCTCGCGGGCCCCCATCTCTCCGAGTTGGTCGAAAATTCTCCTGTTGTACAGCTCCCTTCTTGTTCTCACAGTAGCCCTTGTCGGGACCGAACTAACTAACTCCTGCTCTCTTCCTTATATGAACCTCCCACAAAGCGCCTGTAACGCCTAGCGTGATATGTCTAACCGGTGTCGTGTAAGTCATCAGCCCAAAAAGTCACTTGCCTGAGCCTTTAAAGGCTTCAGACCAATGTGCGGCTCCTCCATCGCGATACCGAAGGCGAATTCGAACTCACTAGGGAGCCGGCGGGAGAGAAGCTCCCCAAATATGTAGCACTGTCGCATGCCCGGCTCCTGGAGAATGAGGCTGAGGCTAGTTTCAAGACCTGACTCAAGGAGATGCCCATGCCATACCCCATGGGTATGCCTAAATCCGACTCTGTGGCGAACAAGCGGCCAAAGATGGCCGGGAATACTCCTGGCCGGATACCTGTTGCATCAACAAGGAGAGCAGTACCGAGCTTCAGGAGGCAATGATAAGCATATTTTCCTGGTATCATAACGCAGATCGATGTTATGAGTACGCGTGGGATGTCTTAGTAGAGCAGGCAGCTGACGACTAGTCCAATGAATCTCCCCCTATATGCTTGTAGGAAGACTATCGCAATAGCGGATGGTTTACTCGCGGCCGGACTCTTTAGGAACTCCTGAGCTCCAAGTTTATCGAGTTCCTTCCCAGGAAGGGCACAAGACATGGTGACAAGGCATCCCTGGGACATATGATCCACGAAATCACCAATCACAGCTGGGAAAGGTCAGGCAGGACAGCTCCTCGGCTCAACAAGACAGAACCGATAAGTTGCTTACAAGCAAGACCTGGGGCTTTCGTTATCGTTTCCTTTTCCGCTAACCCTTTACCATGTTTAAAGCAGATGGAACAGTCGCAGCTTGTTCCCGTATTCCCTTTGATGCTTGAAAGCCTCCCCGTCCATCATGCCGTGAATGTAGCATTCCCCGATGAGCTCGCACTGGTACTGGCTCTCGAGAGAGGTAGCCAGGTCCGGCGGTTTGCTTTCGGCTGTGTCCTTCCTGAGCGCTTTCCGCACGCCGACCGAGGCGAACGTGACACTCGGCGATTGAGCAGGGACCGCGAGACCTTTCTTCCCTGGCGTTGCATTGTCCATACCGGAGTCTGGTGTTGCTGAAACTGTGCATGGATCGCTTTGGACCGGCGTTTGATTTGGTGAGGGGAGAGACGAAGTTGACTGCGAAACTGCCGACAACCGAATCGACTCGGTGCCATCTGGCTGCGTTTCGATGATTTCAGGTTTCTGGTCAAATGCGGAACTCATACTGCCGTGCTTCGACGGCGAGCGAAGCCTCCGGAGCACAAGAGGCACTGCAGCCGTACAAGATACAGATCAGATCACCCTCTCAAGCTTCAGCGGGGACTAATCCTAGGAACTTGCTTGAGCCTCGTCTTCCTTCTGTCAGCATCATTTGCCGATCCCATATCACACCTTGGACCCGTCTGAGGAACTCTGATGCTATCGATGGACAGCGTCCAGATGTTAGAAGCTCTGTAGTGTTTATGCCACCTCTCCGACTGCGCTGCTCAAACATCCATTTGCAAGCTAGAGGGAAGTATGCTAGGGGGTAGCTTTTGCCATCTTGACCTCGGTCGGCTACGAGGGTTCGCCAGAGACGATCAGGGACAGGATTTGGAGGGCCCGACCAGTCGACGAGGTCGAGCCATGTGGAAGGGATGATGCCCTCGTATGCCGGACTTCTTGTGGTTCCAACTGCATCGAGCACAAACCCAGCGGCTACCAAGACTCTATCTTGGATGAGGCCCTTGCTTGAATATATCTTTGTCTTGCCGCTGGCGTTGTAAATTCTCGGCCCATGGCCAGGACAACCCACCAACGGATCGGCGAGAGCTCGCTTATACACATTATGACCAGGCTGCTTGTCAAAAGGCGTGCTATCAAGCTGTGTGATCCACGACGGCAACTTCGATTCTTCTGGAGGCGGCTCCGGGGACCAGGGGCAGCAAATAATGTCGAGGGGTCTTGGACCGACCGATAGCAAACTCGAGGAACTCTTTGCAGACCTCATAGACGCTCCTGTTGTAGTCAACGATGATGGATGCGGGATATCCTTCAAATTGCTTCTCTGCGTTTCTCAGGGTACGGTCGGAGACTGAGCGACAGCTAAAGGATGACTGCCAAGCTGCAACTGGGGGTTTGAGTGATGTTGATCTCTGGGATAATTTCTCAGGGCTATCGGTTGAGGACGTTCCTGTCGCCCGTCTTGGGAATGGAGTTCGAAACTTGATCTATGGCGATGCTCAACGTGTGGGGAGAGGTTGGGAGCGAGCCCCATGTATATGAAAGGGCTTCACATGGCGGCGCATTTTGCACATCGGAGCCTGTGTCGCGGGTGACCAAGACCTAATGTCCCTCCTCTGGCTCCTCATTCTCCGGGAGTCGGAAAATATCGAGACTGCCCTCGAGTTGAGCATCATAACTGTCGGCGGAGGGGGCGAGCAACCTGATCTCATCTGGTTGTAAGCGCTGGTACTGATATGTTGCCATTGCTGGAGTTTCGCACCTGGTGGTTGTTGGATTTGAGGCTCTGTGAGATTGCGATATCTAGAGAGGCACAGCAACTCACGTGGTGGGGATGTGCAGCTGAACTGGGAGGAGTGAAGCCTCTGATCAACGCATCTGGACCAATCATCTTTCCACTTGCTTCCCTGTCAGTTTATGCCTCATTTTGACCTTGCTTTGATGTGTGGGAACAGTCGATGGTTGGATGTGAACTGCGCATCATCATCAAGCCAATCACATGGATCCACCCATAGTCTAAACATGAAAGGTACTACGGTATCAGGCATATATAGGGGCCCTCCTTCAGCTAGCCTCCCCGCTTTTAAGGTCTCTTTATAGTGTTAAGAAGTACTTCATATGGCTAAGAAAAGTTACCTTTTTATCTTATCTTCTTTCTTGCCTATGTGATAAGCTAAATAAGCCTGATAAGATAAAAAGGATTCCTCTGAGAGCCACGTGATAAAGCTCATTAGCACCGTAGGCTACAAAAAAGCGGAGGGCCCCTATATGCCTGATACCGCAGTAGTTTAGTGGTAAAATTGTCCGTTGCCACTGGGGACATATCTCCTCCTCGGCTGGTCCATGTGTTGGGCCCAAGCTTATCTCAACTTCAACCCACTACCCCTTCGCTCTGCTCTCTCTTGGCGCTTTTCAGTGCCTCTATACCGCCTTTTCCCCTAGACCTCCCGCCGCTCCCGCTTCTTTGTTAATGCTGTCGGACACTTGGAGAATATGACGTCATATTGCACTTCCTTTATGTTCTCGCCGCTCCAATCACGTGGCGCAATAACTCAAAGGCTCAGAGAAGAATCCGGTCGGCATGGCTCATACCACAGAAGCAAGCTACCAACCAACCATGCACGAGCTGGTCATTGGAAAACCACGTGGCCATATAGGCCAGGACAGGGGGCGGCTTGTGTACAAAGAAGAGGGCTGGTGTGGTTCCGGCCTAGTGTAAGACTGACTGATCGATCTGCAATAGTGGTTGGAGGATCTCGCAACATATTGCTGTCCCAATGAGTAACTTGCCGGCCTTGAAAGAACATCTGCTTATTTTCCCTTTGAGGGTCGTTCATTGAGCTTCATCAATGCCATGCGAAGATTGGTGGAGATGATCAAACTAGTCAAGATCCCTGGATAGGATGCTCTGGCCGACATGGCCATACTCCACCGGCAGCGGCTTTGTAGGGCCCATGTTGCCGTCGCCCTCTTCAGAGCCCCAAAACCAACATGTATTGGGCCTGAAAGGCTGCCCCTTTGTCCTTGTTGTCATGCTCTTGCATTGCATGGGCGATGTGTTAGGTGGGACTTCACCAGATGGTAGCTATCATGCTGGCTACGTTCAAAGGAAAGTATATCAGAATATAAGAAGCAGCCAGAGATCCCAGCCGCCGTCAAGACATTCCTCCTCAGTAACCTCTATGGTCTTCTTTCCGACCCCATACTCGCCGCTCATCTCAACTGTCCAGACGTCCTCGTGGTGTTCCCCATATTACACTCATTCTCTTTTCGCCTGAGCCAGAAAGGTCAAGAACTTTGCGCTCCCCAAGGTTTGTGAGCATCCTTCATGTACTTCCTCTAGCTTACCAGCCCTTTCCAACAAGATGACGACCCCGACTCGTCAGACTACGCGCCGGCGTACTCCCCGGCCTGCTCCTCATGCAGGCCCCCAGGCAGCGACCCCTGGAAAATGTCCCTATTGCGGGCACATCAATGAGAGGACTGCAACAACATGTGGAGGGACAGAGAAGGACCCTGTGTATGGTCCTATCCCATGTCTCTGGATCCCTCCTCCGCTTTGACCCATATAGACCTGTAAGTCTCCGACGATGATGACCTCCTTAGCCATGACGCTGATATAGCCGTGCCCAGGACACGGCTGTTTTGGGATCGAGCAGTACAATTGGCGGGGCTTGGGATGTTTACACATTGAGCCTCAAAATGGGATGGGATAAATGCATATTGATTAACCTATCTAAGCTACACTGCACTAGGATAACTACTTAGATGGGTTGGGACCGAACAATTCCTTGTTCTTCTTGATATTCCATCTGTCAAACTGAGGCCGCTTTTCACCAAAAGCCTTATCCCCAACCTTGAGTTCACTCAAGGCCCTGTTGATCTTTTCATACCACTCATGCTGCTGCTCCCCAGACCACGCCGTGTCGCACGATCTTCCGTAGAGAAACACATTGGAAAGGGTCTTGGTGCGAACCCACTCCCGAGGAACGTAGCCAGAATCCTCCCATCTGCTGATGCCCACCAACCCGTTGTCGTCTACGCTGAACGAGTGTGGCCTCATATTATTGTGGGCAAAGACCAGGTCGGAGCAGTCCATGCCAATCTCCTCGCAGTTATCCCGAAGCTCCTGCGGACTACAGCACTTTTCGAGGCGCTTACCTTTGCCAAGGTACAACTCAAGCAAGTCATTGCCATCAACACCGCAGATTTTCTCTCCACGCCACTTAGATAGCTCCCCGTAGGCTTGCGCGATTTGCCGAGCGATGCGCTCCTTGAACGCATCGTCATCGATCTTGGGCCAGACCTCGCAGAGAGACTTCCCGGGAAGGATGCTATAAGCAATGTAGTACTCATTGCCGTGTTGGGCGTGGTAGTAGACACGCGGGATCTTAAAGGTCCAGGGCGTCGTCTCATCCTTGCCTTTCTTCAGAGCTTTCAGGGTGACATGCTCAGGCGTGCCCGCGCACCCTTCGATCCTTAGCTCGCAGAGACCAATCCTCCAAGTTCCCCATACAGCGCCCCTGTAGAAGATTGGAGTGATGGGGCAGGGGGCCGAGACTTCTCGGGTTAGGGGTGGTGGATGTGGGGCGACAGAGATGGCGAAGAAGCCCCCCTCGCCGTCGTCCCAGAAAGGTCCAGATGACGGCTTTGAGCTGTGCCTAGATATTATGACTCGGGCTAGCAACCAAGACCTGTCATCGATCTCGCGAAGGACTTGGGCATGGGATTCAATGGTTTCCCGGGGGGTCGGGACGAATGGAAGATGAGATGAGCCAGTACCAGCCATGCTGAACGTTGTGAGTGGATGATGATGTGGTGAGGTGGTATGTGGTGAGGTGGTATGTGGTGAGTTGGTATGTGGTGATGAAAATGTTGCAAAGTAAAGTGTATGAATGGTAGATGATTGTAGTGAAGATGAGAGGCGGGTCCAGAGGTGAGCAATAAAGAGCGGCCTATTTATGCTTTTGCTCGAGGCGTCAAGCAGAGGTACCTTGTTCTGACGAGAAAGGTGAACGTATTCGACACAAGGGGCGATGTATGCTGATTGACGCCTTGTGTTGTCCGGCCCTTTGTTGGTGTTGACGGTGAGACGAGCGTTGGGCACCTTCAGCATGTAAAACACGCCAACTTTACCTCCAGAGACTCCCCCGAGCCTGTTTGTTGGAAAAGGGAAAAGGAACACAAATTACAAATGACTTGATGTTTTGGGATTGCTCATGTCCTTTGTTCTCGAGATCAGCTGGAGAGACGAGACGTTGTACTTGAACGTGGTACGCACGCAGAAACCCTCCCTTTGTGGGAGTAGGCTCTTGGTCAAAGCCGCAGACAAAGTAATGATAGCAGTGAATGCATGGTGGTGCCTGATTAACATTACCAGCCAACAACGACTGCGTCACGAGGGACGAGAATTTGCTGCGCAGATGCGCGGCTGTTCTCGTCCACTAGGTTTATGTTTCTCTAAGTCTTGTGCAACTTGCGTGGTGAATACACGGCGTCTGTTTTTATCACGGGAAGACGTCTTGGTAAGTGACGTATAAATTTGTGTTTCAAAGAGTGGCTTTATATACTCTTTAGATAACCTATTTTGATCGAATCTCTATTATGTATAGACGCGTCAAGCAGCAGAATGCGCTGATATCAAACTTCAGTCTCGGAGTCAGAGATGTGAATATGTGATTGTTCCTTTTCATCGTGAAAGTAAGCCCTGATTCCTTATTTCTCCTTTACCGGCCTCGGGCCCAATGCTGGCTCTACGAAACATGGCTCGCAGCCTACTAACAATAGAAACCCCGACACCGGAGTTCCAAGTTAGTAGCTCTCAAACCATACTCGCGTCAGTGTAGACTTTGCTCCGTGACCATCCATCCCGAGGCGAGTACACAAGGCGGTGGATCTCGAACTCTTCGCCTTTGCCACCTCGCCGTAATTTGAACATGTGAAAGGTGCCAACCGGCCTACCCATATCATTCAGCAATATGGCTGCGCCTACAGGAAGTATGCACTCGTGAGGTCGTTCAGACCCTGAAGGTCTCCCGGCTTCAGGAGACAGTGCCTCCCCAATCTCCCCACTCCGGCCTGTGCTGATCGTTTATCTACGCGAAACACCTCAAGGTAACTAGTTCGCGGCTTACATGCGCAGCATATTTCTAATTGTGGTTTTCGTAAGACCCCGTGTATTATGGAAAGGTCCGGGGTGGTTTGCCTACTCACCATGTCCTTCAATTTTGGTTTTAGTATCAACTTCCTGTCACGTTATCAACGTGCATCAAGCGCCGAGTTTATCCCTATCAGGATCCCCCCCTCTCTATAGTAAGTGCCTATATGCTTAATTCCCGCTATGTATATTACGCATGTACTCGAGTGTTGTGCGAATTGGCTGTTGGCAGGGATAGTAATGGCTCTTCAATGCATGAGCGCAAGGCATGCCCTGATAGGGCAGGGGAGTGATTTATATGCTTAATTGGGATAACGAAATAGACCTAAACCTGCTAAATAGCCCGACTGCCGCATACGAGTGATGTTTCATAGGATCAGCTGAGTCAGATAAGCCCCGGCACTTCATGTAAGTCATCTACGATAGCCAACTTCGCCACCGATGGGCTTGCTGTCGACTCATCCACTTCCGTCACAATTAAGATTTTAATAAACCCGAGATCCAATTAGACGCTGAAAAGATAGGATCCTACCCTACGACATAAGTTTGCTTAACTCTACCCCTATGCAAACGAGCTGCAGTTGTCACACGGTTTCCCTTGCTGGAAGTCTGACATGCTCTCGACATCTTCCCTCTCATAGCTGCTTTGAGTTGATTATGATCCGACCTGAGGACGCAGGGATTTGGGTTGCATTTTACCCTGGCGAGCGCAGTATAGTATTCAAAAAAGTCCTGGGCCACCTCTTGTGAGCGCAACTGAAGTACCTGATGGTATCATGGGTTGTCTCGAGAGCAATATAAAGCCTTCTCCCTTCTCGACTCCAGGTTTCGAAAGACTCTGTATGTCTATCGAGCATCGTCAGCCAAACACTCAACTTTGTGTAGTCACTCTCAACTCTTCCTGTATACCCTCTCAGCATTATTGCGTGACCATGGCACAGCCCAAGCTTTGGAGTGCCATGGCTTGGGCCATGGTGCTCATAGCCAATGTTATCCCACTCGTCGCCGCCCTTCCAAACCCCTCTACCGTCAACTCGTACAATCTGCCGCGTCAAGATGGGTGCGACCCAGGTGAAAGGACTTACGGCCCACCTCCGAACCGTGAAGGCGAGTTCAGGTTCAAGTTTTCCACGAGTGGGCGGCAATACATCACAATCGTCAACCTCACGCCGCACCCATTCAGGCTTACCTATTCCCACGAGAATCAAATGCGGTTTTGGGACTGGGGCGATATTGAGCCCGGACGAGCACGGCAGAACGTCGCCCACTACTCTGAAGACCCTCTTCATTGGCTCGTCGACACCAAGGGCGAGGCTTATTACGATGTCGGTGATACTGGCGCCAAGTTTGTCGTTCGCGCTACCAACAACGTTAGAGATACACTCCACAACAAACGTTTCATCTTTGACTTGACTGGGATGAACGCAGGCGCGCGAGAGTACAAGGCGCCGGCTCCAGAAACTCCCGTCACCCTCGTCATCACAGGCAGCGTGTGGTACGGCTTTGTTACCTCGATCCACAACGGTCCGGCCAACTGGATGGGCGAGATCAAGGATACCATCAAAGACCGCACGGTAAGCCAGATAGCGATGCCCGGGACGCACGATTCTGGCATGAGCAGGATTTCTCGCAAAATTGACTCGCTTGGTGTTGAACTTAATACCCAGACCCAGGGTATCCGCGTCGGCAACCAACTCTGGGCTGGGGCTCGATGGTTAGATGTTCGTGTTATTTCGGTCCATCCCGTTTCTGATCATCATCGTTACGAATTCTGGACCTTCCACGGAGACCCGGAAGCCAAGTTCGTCATGGGCAATACAGGCGAGAGCCTGGATGAAATCATCGACGGGATCAACAGCTTTACCAGCGAGAACCCGGGCGAGGTCATCTTTATACAGCTGAGGTATCTACTCGGCCTAACAAAATTCGCGCTAGCTGGGCCAATTTACTGGAGCCCCGAACAGAAAGACGACTTTTTCAACCAGCTCAAGAGAATAAATAATCGGTGCGCCAACCTCGGGGAGGGACATCTTGAGCGGCTGAGAATGAGCGAGCTCATGGAGTGGAACGAGGGCAAGGGCTGCGTCCTCCTCTTCCTGGACACGGCGGCCCTCGAGAAGAAGATACCAAAGGACCAGGTCGTCTCACGCGGTGACGGCATCTACCACAGGAATGACATGGATTGGGATGACGCCTGGCCCGACAAGAGCAATGAAATCGAAGCATCCAACAGGGCCATTGAGCTCTGGAAGGGGAGGACGAAGCCCTTCCACGTCGGTCAGTGGGTGGTGACCGGTGACTTGTCCACGTCCCTCTCCAAAATTGCCGAATCCATGAACCCGATCCTTTACTGGAGGGGTGTCAACAGAATTACGCCCGAGGTGTTCCCCAACGTCCTCCTGGTTGACTACATTGGCCAAGTCGTGGACAGAGAAAATGCCTGGGATCAGCTGAGTCTTGAGCTGAAAACTCTAGCCATAGGCCTTAATCTCTACACCATCAGCGAGAACTGCGCCATTAATCACCGTCGGCCACCGCTGCTTGAGCCCATAGGCGGCGAAACTCGGCTCCTCGGCGAGGAGCAACATTTCCCGGCGTGGAACGGTGTCATCTTCGCCAACGGCACCGTACTGGATGAGGCGCCGCCTGACCTGAGCCTGGGCTGCGTTGAGATTCTGAAGAAGGGGACCAAGTTTGACAACGGAACTGTTTTGGACCAGGATATGCGAAATCCTGAGTGCCAGGGCAAGCCTGTTCCTGGGCGGGGCTGGAACTCTACTGCAGCCCCGGAGACCTACCGAAGAGGAGGTGCTCTTTGAGGCAGTCCTGGGTTGCTGGGAAAACATTCCGATGCTACCAACAGAAGTAGACTAGGAGAGGAAGGAGGTGTCCGTTAAGAATAGGGGGTCGATTTTGGTATGTAGACTTTGGATGGGTAGCTTGGTTGGATATAGTAGCCTAGAGGCCTCAAGGTTGATATATAGGTTAATATATACAAGGGAGTCCTTTTTGATACCTGTTATTCCCCCTTCAGGAGCCCAGTCATCGACCAAGTTTGGATTCCTTCCCCTGAGGACATGACGGCCGATGGGGATTGGACGCGGCGCCTCTTGCTCGTTTGTGAACTTGTAGGCGTTTGATAGTTCAGACAGTCGACGGTTATCACGTTGCTTGAACTCGGCCTCCACCTTGGCTTTGTGTTGGCGGTCTCCTCGGAAATCATCATCGTACTACTTAATGTCCTTATTTACCTGCTCATGAGCGATGAAAAGCTGAGTTTTGGCGTCGGTATCCAGCTTGCCCCACCATGGATTTGATACCGGTCTCGCCCACCAACATCAAAGTGGATTTGCATCTCTCAATATGCAGCAGCAAAGTCTTGACGGTCGAGTGACATGGAACGATGATACCCGGGGGCGCAATGGTGACGCAGATCTCGCATTGAAGACCTCCTAGTTTCTCTAGCTTGGCCTTGTTCTGCGCTCGTCGGAAGAACTTCTTGAACACTGAGTGAAATTCGCTGTTGATGTGCCGGTTCAACTTGCTTGGATGCCACTGCTTGTTCTTGTCTTCATCCTTTACCGTCTCGTCATCTTGGCACTTGGAGCAGCACCCGGACGTAAAAAAAGTCAAGACACCAGAATATCTATACTTAGCAAAGAGTCCTCTTATAATAAGTAAATTATACACTAAGTAAGAGATAAAAATAAGTAATAATATCATAAATCTTTGAGTATTTTTTTTATTTTCTTTTAGGAATCTTTCCCGCATCAGACGACAGAGGCCATTGACTCAGTATCTCATGCTTTTCTACGAACGCGTGAGCAGGTTACTATCGCCACTTGCTTTGACCTAAGGATAGAAGCTTCGGTGCCAACAGCAAGCCAGACCTCCATCGCTGCGCGGGCTGCAGTAGCGTAATCAATCTCTGATAGTTGATGGGCGATATCGTTTTCGGGAGAGAGCTCGTCAGGGAACGCTTCCACTGCTTCACCATGGTCGATGTTATGCTGGAATTGGTCTTCGGCGTCGTCCTCCGGCTCATCTTGTTCGTCCTCTGGGAAATCAGCCTCCAGATCAATACCGGAGTCCTCGACAGGGTTCTCGTTCTCATCATCGACCGAGGTTGCTTGGGTTTGATCGGTGATATGCTGCCTTGCCTGGTTTAACACGCGACGGTTGAACTCACGGCTCATCGATTGCAGTTGCTCCAACCGCAACGCTGTCTCATCGATGGTCAAGTTCTTCGACTGCTCATCTGCGAGCTCTTTCATCACCGACCGAAGGGGCACGTCGAATAATGCGGTCACGGTACTTCTTGCCGCGGGCACTCCCGTCATGGGGGTATTCCTCATCCATGTCCCGTAACTCTCGGAAAACGGTGTTCAGCATCGGTCCGACTCTTCGCATCTGATCTTGGCTTAGCCGGGAAACGACCAATGATCCATCGACGGGGCGGTGATCGCCTTGACTGTCATTGTCACCGAGGGCCAATGATGTCAAATTGGGGAGTGAGGTTCGGTGGGTCGTATAGTACTTCCATCACAAACGAGTTTGGATCATGGGCCATAATCGCCCGTGCCATGTCGGACCCAAGCTTGGTGGAAAGGTCCATGGCGGCACTTCGTCGAATGCTGTAGAGTGTAATCTCCTTAGTTAGGCCAATCTTTTGCCCCCGTAACTTCAAATACTCGGTCAGGGCGCCTGATGATAGCGTAACGCAAACATATTAATCATTTCATACTACCAAGTAATAAAGTATGCCTTCCCACAGATATCTTCCCCTGCTACGCATTTCCTTACTACTTAATCTCTCTAGAGACCGCTTCTAGTCTAAGCATTACCTAAACGACACAGCCGTTCAATCCTAACCCCAATCACACTTTAGTCCTAAGCCTCGTCATTTTGTCGTCCTAAGACGGATGTCTCTTCGCGACACCAGAATCTCCCATCTTGATCTCACTTTGGAGCGCCAACCTCAACAACAAAACAAAGCGTAATTGGTTTAGTGGTAAAATTCTCCGTTGCCATTCGAGCAGCGTCGGGGAGCCCTGGGTTCGATTCCCAGATTACGCATAGGAAGATAACTTTTTGTGATTTCTTTTTGCACTATCTCAACAACTCTGCCGCTTATATGATGCTCACTGAGGTCGTATCGTCAATCTCAAGCGTCATTGGTCTAGGGGTTAGGATTCAACTCTTCCATTAGAGAGAAGTTGAGGCTCGGATTCGAATTCCGGATGACGCATTGGCTTTGTTTTTTGCCGTCCATGTCTTCTTTTTGCATCGAATGAATGTCGTGGAAGGGAGTTGCTGAAGAGTGCTCCCCAGCTGAGGCATGTGAAGGGTGTCATCATAGCAGGAGGCCATGCCAGTTGACAAGCTCTGGAGCTGGCCATGTTAAAGCCAATGTCGATCCTGGGACGACTATCTAGATTTTCAAGTACCATAGCATGAACATCTCATCTAGATACTAGACAAGCGTTCTGAAGAGCTGAAGGGAGGGGCGACATCTGACTTCAGGATGTCCTGCAGCCCGGGAGGGACAGCCAACTCCATCGATTCCAGGAGCATGGCAACATCAACTAGACTGATAAATACTACATCGGAAAGCGAGTGGCTGTTCTGCTGTGCAGTGGGTGCAAAACTGTCTTGGGTGACAAGCCTACCAGAGATGATGACTTCAACATCACCTATAGTGGACCAGTTTGCTCTACTCCAATGCCCACCGGCACCATGCTCCCAGCTGCTCGCGCAGTCTTCCTAGCACAGGAAGCGCATCGCCTCCGTTCATGTATCGTTCAATGGTATCTGTCTGTGCTTCATTGCGGTCTCTTGCACGGCCATGGGGTTCTTCAATGCATAGCGGACTATGACAACCTACCAGGTCAATATTAGTAACACCTCTCTTGTCTCTTGTTCCCTGGTTGGGCAAGGGGACGACGTTTCCCTGAACCCGACATTGTACTAGGCCTCTGGTAAATATTTTGGTACTATTCCTATCTAGAGGGTCCGCGGGCTAACTCATTGGCGAGTTATTCCAAATCAAATCCCTGATGCCCGAGTTGGCCGCCGGCCGCCGTCTATCGACACACCAGATATCCGAGCTATCCGTCTATTCCGGCCTGCGTTGGGATGCGGATTCTAGGCCCTAAGCAGCTGGTAGATGATATCCACAAGCGAGGCGTTTCAGAGCATTCGTCATGGTCTGGCGTGACTCTCATTTGCGTTCACCCCGTGGGGATGGTGACGGTGTCACATCACGGCCCCGTAACCCAGCGGAGCCCATGGAACCACCTTCTCCAGAATCTCTTCCCCAGAAACCATCGAATCGTGGGGATACAGAGGCCCACGAGGTTAAATCAAGACAAGGGAACAGCTTGTTACCAAAGTTTGTCATACATATTCAGGGGGTGGGCGTTCGCGGGCCCCTTCTCGGCTTTTGACGGCTCAAAGGTTTTGTCGCTAGAGAACCCCATGGGGAAGAACGCCAACCCAGGAAACCATTAAGTAATAGTCGTGAGGTTGAAGTACAGATCTCGTAATAGACTGTGTTAGATGGTCTGGGGAAAGGTAGGTAGCGCACGGGCAGATGGAAACCTTGTAGTTTCAACCATTCATGTGCAATTCCCAAGTTGTTGCACTGGGAGAAGTGGTTGCTTTTTAGATGTCGGGGTTTCATTTAAACGCGGGGGGTTGAAGCTAAACTACGAATGGGCAATTTCTAGAACGGCGGCAGAAAGGGCGCCGGGCCGTTGCTGAAGCCAATGCAAGGCGAATCAGCACTGTAAGTTAGGGTGGGAGAGGGAGGCCAGGGTAAGGTTGTTTTTTGAGTTGGCCAAATGTACTGTGAGTAGCGATACTTGGTGAACCAGGGCTGTAGCTAGTCGCGCTAGTAAGTGCTGACATGGTTGAATTCGTAAACTCCCAACGACGACCTGAAATTGATGATTCCACGGTTTACCCCAGACCGCGCTAGCTGACACGTTGATTTCCATCATGTAAGAAGCAATTCGTCCTTTCTCTACCCCAGATGACCAAAGCAAGATGGTGGAGTTCCCTCCCCAGACTGTGGCGGAGCGGACTTGAAGGGTTCCGTACGCGCCGGGGATGCAGGACAAGGTGTTCGTGATTTGCCTTCCCTGGCAGTTAGCACAGTGCTACTCCCACCTTTAGGTACATCCCCCTGTCTTTCCAAGCCCAACCTTGACTTTATACATCTTGGCCTCTCCAAATCCCCATACCAAGACACGGACAATTCTACGAACCATCCAATAAACACAACAAAAGATTCCAGAACCCATCTTCCCCCAAGAACAAAGGATTATTACACGCCCCCTCAGACCATGCTCGGCCATCGCCCGCCCCCTTCTCCGCACGAGCCCCTCCCCGGGTCCTCTCGCCTCTCCAACCCCGCACCTCTCTCCAATTTCCATAAGGTAAGTTGTACGTACGCAAAACACCAAATTTGCGGCCGCTCCCCAGGTTTTGACAACAAACGGATTGACATTCTCTACCTTATCTTGCGTGGAGCCCCTTTTCTGTTCCCCGTAGTGGAGTTTTTTGTCCTTTCTCGGGTTCGTGCTCCGGTGGAAGTACTGTACTTGAGTGACTTGAGGTAAGATTGAGTGTGAGATGGATCCATCCCCTTTGGCGACGTTGCTACGCTGCGCCTTACATGGCACGATACCCAGAGGTGAGCGGTGCGCTTGTACGGACCAACGGTGCCGCCTCTACCGGACTACTCCGTCCTCTCATCGGCGTTTTGTCTGTTGTCTCGTGGCAATTGCTTGTGAAGAGTGTTGGAGGCTTTTGGGGAGACTCCAAGTGAGGCCATCTCCATCGAGGTAGATCCTCACTTTTCACCTCGACTCACCTCGCCTGTGCGCTCACCTTGATCTCGATCGGAAACGGTGAATCTGGATTGTACGTAAAATCATCTCTGGATCTCGAAAAAGTAACAAATCTCGCAGAACTGGCGATGTGTCCCCACAGAAGCTGGGTCTTTGGTCAAGCTGTTCGCATAACATGGTGGATCGAGGATGGGACAACATCATAACTTCGAGACAGCACGCCGAATGCCGTCGACAACAAGCCAACTTTACGCCTACCTATCATGTGTCCTAGACTTCCTACCTTCGAGGCTACCATCTCATCCTCAGGCCTATCCAGGCCCCGATCAGCATAGTCCTTGCCAGCGTCACGACTACCCCAACAGCCTCACCAAGTTCAAAAGTTATAAACCCAACAAGCCCATCCCTCACTCTTCTCCCCTTCATCGCATTGCCATACGTAAAATTCTATCCTTTCCCTGTCCCACGTGACAAATCGTCACCTCACATGGCATCACTCATGACAAAGACCCTCCCGCAAAGGCAGTCCAATCTCCAGAAAACTCCACCGGCATCGGTCATCAGTCACGCAAAGGGCGCGCTCGCGACCCACTCGACGACAAGTTTTCTCTGGATCCTGTAGAGCACGTAGGGCGCGATGGGCGTAATTGACATGTTCCCCAGAATATGATTTCTGTGTTTAAAATGCTTTCATATGCCTTCCTTTTGTTCTTTGAGTGTTCCTCGTCATGTTCCCGGCCACCTTCTCCAACTTTTCTCCAACTTTTTGACGTCGGCCCCTGCATCTGCGCCTCCCTCCTGCAACTACCCTTTTTGGCAACACCATCCACACCAACTCGAACATCGACAACAGCCACCCCAACGCCATCCAACCGTCAAGATTCACGACAAGCTCTAACTTTATGGCTTCCAAGTACTAGTTCAGAACATACCGACACTCCGAAAACTCTCAAGACGATCGTCATCAATCACCATCAACTACATCACAACAAATCCCAGACAACATATTATAAAGCAATGTGCTTGTCGGATTATGTGCAGAAGTTCCTGCATGGTATCTAGCGATAAATGATGTACACAAGAGTCAAAAGATCAGAGGCCTGCCCCCATGCGAACGCTGCCATCGGCAAGTGCTGGTGCCACGCGGGTGAGGAGTAGTCTCCTTCTAGACGCATTCAACAAGGGACCTCACGCCCCCATTCCCAATCCATCCATCCACAAGCTTACATGATCTTGTGGAGGAAGCGGCGCCAAGCGGGCCATGTAGCCATCTCAGCCCTGAACTTGTTGATCTCTTCCCAGTTATGCTCACGACGACCAGTGTCGACATCAATCTTGTCAATAGAGATCCAACCCTCTCGCTTCCAGATATATCCGATGGCCCAGAAGAAGAGAACAACGGGAAGGGCGAGGTATGACATGAAGAAGCCTTCGACGGTGCCCATACCAGACGAGCCAGGGGATGCGACAATGGCGACGTAGAACTATATTTATCAGCATGGTTCTCCAGTACTTGCTCAACGAAACTTACCTGGGCGATCAAGACTAGGGTGATGAGGAAAAGGCCGAGCCACGAGCCATATGTGCCACCAACAGCCTGGAAGGGGATCTCGTCCAGAGTGTGACCCTGGTGAGCCCAAGCCTTACGGAAACGGATGTGGGCCAGGCAGATGGAACCCCAGGTGAAGAGAGTCGACAGACCAGAAAGAGCCAGGAGCCAGTCAAAGATCTCTCCACCCTTGGGGCTTAGGTTAACATAGGCGAGGAGTCCCATGACGATGTGGATGAGGACAGAGAATGTGGGACGACCACCGCGGTCAACGTAGGCAAAGATCTTGGGGGCGTAGCCGTGCTCAGCCATGGCTGTCAGGGTACGAGAGCCGCCATAGACAGCCGAAACACCAAGGGAAAGAACCGAGACGAGGATGATACTGTTCATGAAGTGGTTAAGACCAGTGAGGCCCGAGTACTCGCCAACCAGGACGAAGGGAGAGGCCTTGGCGTTGGAGTAACCGCTAATGTCAAGTCGGGGGTCGGCGGAGCTGATGAGGAGACCGACGAAGAGGAGACCGAGGACGTAAAAGAGGGTGATTCGCCAGAAAACCTGCTTGATGGCGCCGGGAAGAGCCTTGGTAGGGTTGCTAGACTCGGCAGCAGCAAGACCGACAAGCTCAGTTCCAGCAAAGGAGAAAGCAGCAGTGACGAAGACGGAGCAAAAGCCCTTGAAGCCGTTCTTGAACGCACCGGGATCCTCGTGCCAGAGACGGTCACCCCAGAACTCGTTGTAGCGGCCGTTGCTGGGACCGCCACCGCAGACAAGGACGAGGCAAATGATCATGAAGACGACGATAGCTCCCAGCTTGAGGCAAGACGACCAGAACTCTTCCTCGGCGTATCCGATACCGCCGAAAACGTTGACGAAGATGATGGCGACGAGAAAGATGGTGATGAATATACCCGGTGATAGTTCATCGTTCCAATATTGGATACAGACGGAACAGACTGTTAGTTCGAGTGGTAAGACGACTGCCCATTGAGCAACATAGTTCCAGCCCATGGCGAAACCCCAGGAAGGATCGATAAAGCGGCACGAATAGACGTAGAAGCCACCGGAGACGGGATACATGACAGCAAGTTCACCAAGAGCGAAGACTGTTGGAAAAGATGATTAGCGCTTGGCTCGAACATGGGGAAACAGGGAACACATACCGACGTTGAAGATCATGACACCAATGATGAGGAAATCAATGGTAAGAGAAGCAGGGCCCTGTGTCGCTCGTTAGACATGAAAGCAGACAGAGCCAAGTGCCGTCAACTTACACCGTTGTAAAGGGCCTTTCCAGAACCGACGAAGAAACCAGCACCAATGGAACCACCGATGGCAATCATCTGAAGATGGCGGGGCTTCATTCGACGATCGAGCTCGATAGCACCGTCGAAGCGGCGCTGCTTGAAAGACTCAAGAGTGAGACCATTTCGGGTCAGGTAGCTCTCCTGCTCGAAAGCATAGCCGGCACCGGTCTGGACATCGCCGGTGTTGTTGTCATAGTCGGTGACCTTGGCGCCCTTCTCGGCGCCAGCGTCACTTGGGTTCTCCAAGCTGGAACCCATGTTGGGCTATCTCCCAATGGGCTTGTTGAGGTTGTTGCGGTTGTGCAAGTGCAGACCTAACTTCTACCTCGATGTGGTGAGGAGAAGACCTTGGAGGAGGAGTCGGAAGGAAAGACAAGAAAGGTCGAGTGACCTCTGAGGGGAGAAGGAAGAGACGATGATGGACGGAAACAACAGAAGATGAGAGGAGGGGGATCGGCCTTCTTAAAGACGTCTCGAGTCTAGAGTGAGAGAGGTGAGAGGCAAAGGATAACCGAACGGATGGGATGATGGAGACGGGAAGGGCATGGGTCGAAGCAACCTAGCTCCGGGGGCTAAAGTTGGGTTGGGTCGAGGGGTCAAGGTCGAAGAAGCTCTCGAGGACGTTGCAAGCAGAGGACGAGGACCCACGATGGAACTCGCTCGTACCCAAATAGCGTTGCCTGGGGTCGACTGAGCTCCTAGCTTCCTGCTACCGACTAGTGTCAGGTCGGAGGCCTTGGTGTGTTTGTGAGGGTGGTGGGGAAGAGGCGACAACGAGGAACGAAGAAACGAGAGGAGCCTGAAGGCCAAGACTTTCGATACGGAGGAACATGGATGATTGGGGTAGGTCGAAGGCATGGAAGATGGCGAAGCGGAGAGTATCACCGACACGGACAAGGACCAGGCGAGAGAAGGAAGCAAGACGCAGGCTCCGATTTGGCAGAGTCGATCACTGCTGTCGCGGCTACGCGCACCCCTTGTTTCTCGCCTGGATGAGATCCGCGACACAAGGAGATTTGAGCAAAGACAATGGATGCATGCCCGGTGTGTGAGGGAAGATGGATGTTGATGGGGAGGGGGGTGCACGCCCATGGTGGAGGTCAGCACTGTGCGAGCTTTATTTCTTGGCATTCACTCGTTGCACAATGTCTGCATCGCCCCTTCCGTCTTGGCTCTTTTTCTGCTCTTGCTAGCAACAGCGAAAAACAGGCTTCACAGCGAGGGAAGGAAGAAGCCACTCTCTGTCTCTCAAACTCGACCAGGCTAAGCACAGGCCAAGCAGAAGATCTCCCAGACCAATTCTCAGAGTGGGGAATTGGGAAGTGGGTTCCAAGGCTGTCCCCACATTTCATGAGGAAGGAGAAGTACAGGTACTTTCTCCAGGTACCTGCACCTCCGACTGCCTGCCCCCTGCCCTTCCCTGCTTTGCCTTACCTTGGCCCCAAAGCTGTTTACCTCGGGCAGGGTTCCCTGCTCTCTTCCCCGTGCTCTACTCTCACGCAGTCACACGCATACGCATCCATCTCGGGCTTTCTGCTACTCACCTTTGCCCGACAAGGGGCAAATCGTTGCGATTCAGCCCTTTCTGAATCATGGCTGCTTATGAGAAGCTGATCTTTGCCTGCAGGCAGCGCGGTCAATTACCACAAAAAAGCAACGTTTGCTTCTCGGGACTGCTGACCGGACCTGCAAAGCATCCTCCCCGTTGCCCCCCATCGGCACATGGACAATGTGGAACCCAAGACAACCAACACACGACGCTCTTGTGCTGCTCCTCTCCTCAAATGTCTTGTGCGTCCGGGATGTTGGTCCAACTCGCCGGGTAGCAGCATTGCGGAGACGGAGAGTCAAGCCGTGAAAGCCCCCTTGCTCATTCACTCGGCCAATGTTTTGGAGGATAATCTGCTGCCAAAACCATCAGTTCTCATGAGCAAAAGAAGCAGTTGATGGAGGCTTCGCCTCGGATCCTTCCCGTTTGTCGTTAAAGAGGGTCATGACTCAATATCATACAAAACACCATGACACACATATGATTGGGGTCATGCCAGTCAATGTCTTGGCATCAGCTATGGGGGGTTTGCAGTTGAATGTCGACTTGTTCAATGGCTCAGCTTGTCCAAGACAAGGGCTGTTGTCTCCAGGCCAAGATACCAAGACATGCTCAACTCCAATGCCCAGCCTTACCCCAATATTCATCTCGTGGCATCAAAGTCAACACCAAATCATGCTTCCATCATTCCAATTAACACTATTCACACTCTCAGCCGTGTGTATTTTGCCTATTCTCACCGCAGCAGCCCCCACCCGCGCCTCGAGAGGATCTCACCAGCCGCCATCAGCCATTCCTATCTCAGGCGCTCTCCGCGTCTATCCACTACAGATAAGAGACTCGCAAGATCGCTCACGCGGTCGCCTGGCTGCAGAGATCAAAGGCCAGGTCATTGTGGCTCCTGTTGATCCATCCAGGACAGGCTTTGCCTCCCATGTCATTCATCACCACCTGCAACGACAGCAGCCCCTACTCGGTGGCCCATGCTTACTATCTCATTGCCCACCCCTACTGTCCCCGGTCAATTCCCTTCTTGCTGCCCTGCCCGTAAACCGCAATTTGTTAACCTTCCGAACGGCCCGCGGGCACTTCTCTAACGAGCCGTTTAGGATGCATCATTCTGTACGGGGCTCTTTGAGGACCTTCCGTATTGGGAAGTCCGGTTCTCTAGCTGTCAATTCTGGGGCTGATGATGGACTCTCTGACGACTCCGCAATAATTACAATGCAGTAAATGCGCAGAGAAGAGGCATTGGCAGGTCATGCAGCAAAAATCCCCCAAGGCAAAGTTTCGTCAAATCATTGCCCATCAGCTCTGTAACGTCCCTAGCGGCGGATGCGCCACTGATGCAAAGTCTATCCAGCTCGGCAGATTAACGTCATAGCAAAGGTCACGTTTGGTGCAGCCACGAGCTGCGTGTTTCACCCATTCACGACGCGTCGGAAACACCGCCTCTACTTCCGGACGCCTGGTTACAGGTATACCCACCCGACACGGAGATGATTCGCTGTCACCAATGGCCTCTCGCAAAGAGCACAATGAACTGGTGCCCTGCGCAGTCATGGCCATTGCCGGGTCTTGACGAATCGCCACAAGCCAACTCGTTACTCTCCCTCATCTGCCTCTACCGGTCCCAGTCGTGTGGTGCCACTCATCATACGCTTCCTCGGCTGTGGTGTCGGAGCTTCTCCAAGGGCCTCAGCAGCCGCGGGCCGCCCCTCCATGGCGCAGCCGTGTGCAGTGAGAGGTGACGGATTGTCAGCGCCTCCTACTCCATCCCGCAGGGAGGACAGGGGGAAACAACCGACTAGAATGCGACATTTTTCTTCTAGAAGCCGCACCGCGCGACTTGTGAGAGGGACTGCTAGCTCTCCTAGGCACTAGCGTGTGTGATGGCAACGAGCCGAGAGACACTTGCAGGCATCGCAGCGCACCGATCGAACGAGCGAACAGCTGGAGGAACGCCTCAGATCTTGAATTATTGAACCAGGGACACTTGAGGCCCCCGGTTCTCTCCCCTCCCAGCTTGCGTGGTGCGACGCGACGGCATAGCACCCACCGGCACTATCATTCATTGCATCCATTGCGGTTCAGCGGCGCGGCTAAGGAGCCCGCCCCCGGGCGGTTTCTGCTGAAGAAGCTGCGATAGCACCAAATTCTACAGCTCCAAGACGGGGGTTGACCCTGGCCCACCAAGCCAAATGTGACAGCCTCCAGCGGCTGCGCTGCGGCAATCGTTCTGCCGGGAGTCGGCTGCAGTTGATCAGGCACGTTTAATACTCCAGACATTGAGATCTTCACTCCGCAAACGTTGAATCTAAGGTTACGGGGCGATACGTAACAGTTTCCTCTCAATCGCCATTACCCCGTGGGCAAGACGTGGTCAATCTGGGGACGGCTCCAGTGCTCGAGCCGGACATCTGGAGATGCTGACGAGCAGTAACTGTCCTTTGAGGAAGTTCCCCAGACGTTTGTACGTAACGCAATGCTTTGTGAGAGGGTCCTTTTTTTTTCGGTGGCTCCAGCGGTTGAAGGTCCGAGGCCTGGCATCGCCATTCGGGCCTCCTCGCAGGGTTTAAGCATGATGGGGATTCAAGTGGGCTCGGACATGACCGGCCGTGCCGCCCTTGCTTGCGGAGCCAGTAATAATGTATCTGAACAAGGCCAGGCGCCCCTGACCTTGCGACGAGATCTCCATCACTCGAGTGGCTGTGCACTGTGTACTTGGGAATGATCTGCTCACACAGGCGACTCTTGGACACTTGGGACGATGGGCACAACATGACACGGAGTACAGCTGAGGCTTCTCTGGACCACCACGGGCTTTCACGGGAACAGTTCATGGTCGCCTCGCCCGGTAAAGCAACATTCAGCCTCTAACATTTGACAGGCACCCCCAACAGTCAATCTTGCTCAACGAGCTGCCCAATTAGTCCAACCTAACGACTCGTGGCTCTAGCGGAACCGATGCAAAAGAAGGTTATTGCAATGACCTGCGGCGCTAGTCATGAAGCGGCCGACCTGTTGCAACACGCCCAATGAGAGTGAATTCCCACTTCAGACACTCTCGGAGGTTTTCGTACTACGTGCAACAGCTTGAACCATACCAGGGCCGGTTTGGAGTTTGACGCGACTAGCAAAAAATCGACAGATGGGGGTTGACAACACGGCATAGACCATCGATTTCGTTCATCCAGATCCGGTCCAATGGATATCAATTCCCAAAGTTTCTTCAACTCGTCGTTGGGGTAGTTACGCGTCCAGCATCGCAAGTCCTCGGTGAGCATGTGTTCCGGAACCCAGCCGAGGCCGAGCTATCCCACGGAGTTGAGTTGCCTTCCTGTGAGAGAGTCTTGGCCCGTATTGCATTGCCTGCATCCGTTCTGCCAAGGCTTGATCTGGATGGATGCGAACTGCTACACCGGTGCTCCCAACGGTGGTGGCCTCGGACGGGGCGGATTGGAATCAGTGCTCTCCTCTGGTGCGTGTGTGTCTCGTCCGTCGTCGACGCCGCCGGCCAATCTCCAGCTTAATGGGCCACGGCCACGGAACGGACCCAACGTTGCCGAGCAAGCTAGATTCTGCATCACATGAGTCCCATCGTTCCAGAATCTCACTTCCTCGTGTGACAAGGGCAGGGCTGACTCTGTGCCCCGACCTGGGTTTCACTTGCGAGGCGCATTGGCCAGAAATTGTGGTTCAGCGATGTCAATTCTCAAAGTCAGAGAGTCCCACTCTGACTTGACTATACGCGATAATGTCCGTCCGGGATATAATTTAGAGATAGAGTAGTGACACTTTGAGTGACAGGTCGCCGACGGAGACTAGGGAGGTTGAAGATCCGGCTGGCATCTTTGAGGTTTGTTTGTGAGGGTGTTGGCATGCTGACGGCAGTGACGGCTACGCACAGCGACACGGTCAGCCTTGGCACTGCACACGCTTATCCTGCGTACGTGGGTATTGA